CATTTTATTAAATTTTATATGGGCGTCGTCTTTGAAAGCAAAATACAAACGGCATGGCATATTCAAGCAGCGAGTCTTTAATAATGACTTTATTGGAACAAATCAGGACTTTGGAGAGCGAAAGAGACAAGGCGTTACAATTGGCCAACGAACTTCAGGCGAAGCAGAAAGGTGGCGAAAATTTCCTTGTAGCAGCTAGTAATGAGGACAGCTTAAGTGAAAACTCTAGCAATAACGAGGATGATGATTCTAAACTAGAGAAATTAAAAGAAGAAAATGAAGCGTTGAAAGGAACTGTGGAATCCATGACACAAACTCTGATATTCGATCTAGAAGAAATTCGACTTAATGAAGAACAAAGGAGGTTTAACTTGAAACAGCTTGCTTGTGAACAGAGTGATGATCAAGCAGGTGAATTGGAGGAAATGGATTCAGAAAGTTACAGGACCATGTTGGACATGTGCAAGAAGTACTATGGGAAGATGGTTTCAGAACTACAAGATGAAAGAAGCTCTCTACAGCATAAGATTGAAAAGCAGCAAGCTTTACTCTTAGAAAAAGACATGAAAATTGCTCAGCTAGAGATGAAGCTTCAGCAGAGTTCTAAAAAGTAGGGATAGTTGTAGCTTTATATAATAGGTTCATTGCAGTTGTGGATTAGGCCGTTTCCGTTTTAGTTGCCTCAAGCCTCTGTTTCAAAGCAAGGATAAGTGCGAAGCTGTTTATATGAAAATGATTTTTTAGTATCCTGTAAATAAATCTCATTTTCATGAGAAAGGTTTCGCACTTAGCCTCATTTTAAAAGTGGGAGTTTTTGGAACTTAGAAATGGCTTGTTACCAGTAGCCACTTGTGGGACAGTTAAACCTGGTTCTCATATGCCGCCAATGCACCGGTACTGCCTTGGGATACTGTTCCAATATGAGAACAGAAGTGGCCAGCAACATTGGTCATCCCAGTCTTTACTGCCGGCATGCCGGCGCTACAGCTCTGCGATGGCTCTTGTTGCTGGCGGCACACAATATGACTTGTCCAAAAAGTAGCCCAGGTGGTACTGGCAGCTACATCACAGATACGTTGGCGGCATATGAGAACCAGGCTTTAGGGACATGAGTTGAGAGGGGAAAAAACATCCCCTGATTTCTTGATTAATTTCTATCTCCTATCCCAGACTAAATTTCTCAAACACTTTGCAGCGGCACATACTTATAATGCTGATACATGGTAGTGGCCCACTTTTAGCGATTATTTTTTGTATGAACAATATTTTTATTTTGTAATATTTTGGTCTAAGTTGGAATAAGAAACCCCTTTTTAATCGCAAGTAAAGAAGAGACATTAACTTGAGGTAAACAATAGTATCACTCAATATTATTTTAATTTTTGGAATGGGACTTGTGACTTCAGTGGGGCTGAAGATGGTTTAGTCTGAAATCCTACTCAGTCCAGTGTTTTTAAAAAACTTCACCCCACCCCCACTGAAAACGACCAAGAGTACCCTCCCCACTGGGCTCCTGATGTAGATTCATCTCAACAGTCCAATATCCCATGAGGTGGCTGCTGGTGAGTGTGTTAGGGTCTCAAACATTCAAACCAAGAGTACCCTCCCCACTGGGCTCCTGATGTAGATTCATCTCAACAGTCCAATATCCCATGAGGTGGCTGCTGGTGAGTGTGTTAGGGTCTCAAACATTCAAGCACGTTTTTAATTCTTTTTTCAATTACCGGGTACAATGACAGGAACCTTTAATGTGTTACAGTCAAGGCAGATCAGATTCTCAATTAATTATTAATTGATTATTTGAAAAATTAATCAACATTAGTCTTTTCTATAACTAGTGTCAAATTCAAATCTGCATTCCTGTATGCCTAATGGACAGTGAATATTTTATGATAACGTCTTTATATTTGGTTAGATTAAAAATCTTTGAATGGATAAAATTGCTTCAAAGAAATTTACATCAAATTCTAGGAAACTGAGCTGGTAGAAATTTCATAACTACCTCATGTCTGAATTCACCGCTCATTACGCATACAGAATGCCAAGATGAATCTTAAGTCTATAACTACCAACAGATTCAACTTTTGAATGATAAATTCGTTACTGGCATCTTTGGGGTACACTTGACCTGTGAAGATTCCTGTGTACAAATGCCCTGACTCAAGGCTTGGGACTACAAAAAAACAGTGATTTATATGGAACTGGTCCACTGAGGCTAGACATTCATGAGGTACAAAAAGGGCCCACTGCAGAGCAAGAAACACAGCGAGTAAGATGGACTAACGGACAAAATAACTATTTTAAATGATGCTAGTCTTTTGTCTGTCTTGTCCCAGTGAGTCCCTTTCTCTCCAACGTGGGGGTTTTGTACTATTGGTATGTGAACATAGTTATTAGAGGAGACTGGTTATGAAAGACAACAAAATCCTTTGTTTTCTATTGGCAAATTGTGACGGAATGAATTAAAGGTATGTTTTCATTGGTCAATAAGATAAAAATGCTAGGAATGCTATTGACCTTTAAGCACCTTCAAGTCCAAAAAAACATACAACAAAGGCATCTAATGGGTTTCACAACCATTCCAATTTATTAACTACAGTGGAACCCTATTAATACGTACGGACACCAATGGGCCATTGGCCATATAAACAAGGGTTGTTTTTTACAAGGAAATGTATGGCAGTTTTGACAGGCAGCCAAAAAAAAGTGGCCGTAATAACAAGGTGACCGTATTACCGAGGTGGCCATAAGGTGGGGTTTCACTGTATGATGTGAATGACTAGCTGCAAAGGGCCTATTGGCCAGCCATCCTTGACCTTGTTAAATTGTGTGTATTCACTGCCTGGGGCAGGATGCAGAAAAGGTCTATTTGGGATGTTGGAGCAGTAAGTTTTAATTTTTGTTTTTTTTTAACAGGAATAACTATGTTTCATATGCAAAAAAGGGGAAGTTTTGACAACAAAAGTAAGGGGAAAACCTGACCTTATGTATGAAAAATGATTCCCTCTTTTTTGAAGAAAGATTATCACAATTTGTAATAGGTGTCTTCAATTGTAATGCAATATCATAAAAGGTGTTTTGCAACACTGTGACACATCTTAGCTACAAATTGTACACAAGTAAATCGTAATATTATGGAATGACATGAGCAACATGTGCTTGTACAGTTCTCAAGGAAAAACTGTGTATGTCCAGATCGGGCTTGACAGGGGAGATTAGCAGTATATTTTTATAGGTTATGTGTATCATAACAAGATGTAATTTTTCATGATTAATTTTTATCTTCAACTTTTATGTTTGGTGCAGTGGTTGTCAAAAAAGGTAGAGAATTAAAACAACTTGCTGCAGTTCGATGTGGTTAATATATTAAACCAATGTATTTAAATATATTAATTTATATATACTCCTCTCCCCTCCCCCTCCCCTATCATTGCCTGTTTTTTCCCTTGTCCCAACTTTCTCATCAAACTCGTACAGAATTAAGAAAGGCTTGCTACACAGGCGAGCTAGGAGTGAGGAGACACGGCTGTATTCACAGGCTATTTTCTTCCTCACACATTTCACTTGAAAGATTAAGAACAAAGAAGGAGTGCTGGTAGCCTGTGTATTTCTTTGTTTTTCAGCTAAAGGCAACATGGCAGTGCCTGTGATATGGCCATGAATCATTGGCTAATTCATTATTTTATGGTGTGTCACTCCACCTGGAGTCCACCTGAAGACTGAGTGGAGAATCTTTCTTGGGATGTGGCTTAACTAGAAAACAGTTGCTATGTAAGACCTTTTGAGTCCAGGAAGCAGCAATGTTCTTAACCTGATTATGCAACATGAAAATTATTGTTGAACCAGAAGAATAAGTTGAGGGGGAATAACATTTTTGTTTCCTAGATGAAAAATAAGGATATCGAATCAAATGATGCAATTTTTGCTCCCAGAGAAAACTGAGATAAGGTACAGTGTTAAAATAAGGCAATGAATTAAGAAAAAGGAAACAACTACAAGAAGAAAATAGTCTGTCAACTGCAAAAAGTTAAAGAAAAGGTAAAAACAAGAAAAATGCCAAAAATGCTCTCGCTCCAGGGCACAAGAAAAACAGACACCATGGGCATGAGGTTGATTGATCTACTGATCCCATTGGGGGATCCAGAGCGTGGAGAGGTGGGGTGGGGT